TGCCCCAGTGCCGGTTGGGGATGCCCTGTGTCATCCCCTTATGCCTGCTCTGCCTGGCAGGACCCGGTGCATGCCAGCATGCCGGCGTACTTCCGCTTCCTCACCATCATGGCCTTCCACGTCTTCCTGCAGGAGAAGGTAGGTGGTGGTGGCCTCCAGCTTGTGATGGGGATGGTGGGGACCTCAGGGAGGGGGGGGACATAGGGTCCAGCCCCCACTTGGGACAGAACTTGCATGGGTCAGGCTGACATGGCTGTAACCAGGGGATACTGTGCCAGGTGGATGGTCCCCCCATGAGCGGGGCACGGGTTTAGAGGGGTGGTGGCAGGGACACGGCACCACCTGCATCCATGGGGACACATGCTGCTGGTGGCCTTGTGATGGCTCTGGTGTCCCTGTGTCCCTAGGTGGACCTGGCGGTGGTGGAGGTTGGCATTGGCGGCGCCTACGACTGCACTAACATCATCAGGTAGGAGCCTTCAGGGCTGAGCCTGTCCCCCAGGGCTGCCAGGGCCTGCTGTCTCCGTGGTGGGGGGACAGCGGGGACATTGCCACGCTGCGTCCCCAGGGCGCCGGTGGTGTGTGGGGTCTCCTCCCTGGGCATCGACCACACCAGCATCCTGGGGGACACCATGGAGAAGATCGCCTGGCAGAAGGGGGGCATTTTTAAGGTAGGGAGACCCGGTCCTCCCCCTCTCGCGGTTTCGGGGTGTGTTCCCCCATGGCCCTGAGCACCCCTGTCCTTTGCAGCCCGGCGTGCCGGCATTCACAGTGGTGCAGCCAGAGCAGCCGCTGGAGGTGCTGAGGGACCGAGCCCAGGAGCGGGAGGTGAGTTGGGTGGCAGGGGGGGTGGATGGGGGGTACCCCATGGCGAGGGGCTCAGCCTCCTCTCCCCGCAGTGTCTCCTCTACCTCTGTCCGGAGCTGGACGCCTTCGAGGAGGGCCGCCGGGTGCTGGAGCTGGGGCTGGCGGGCACTCACCAGCGCTCCAACGCCGCCCTGGCCTTGCAGCTGGCGCGGACCTGGCTGCAGCGCCGCGGCTGCCGGGGTAAGGTGGGGGGACAGGGACGGGGGGTCGGACCCCGCTGTGGCCCCTGGGGTCTCAGCGGAGCACCCGTTCCCCCCCAGGTCTCGGGGAGCTGAAGGAAGTGCTGCCAGGCACCGAGCTGGCAGGGAGGCCGGTGCCGCTGGCGCCTGCCTTTCGACCCACTGACGCCATGATCCAAGGTGCAGTACGTCTCTTTGACCAAAGGTGCAGTGCGGCTGTGCGGGGACCCCACCCCGCCATGTCGCAGGGCTCAGGAGGTGGGGTGGGGGCCCACGCTGGGCCCCCGGCCAGCGCCGCCTGTGCTGGAGGGCACAGCCTGGCTGCCCGCCCCGCATTTGATCCCCACGGGGGTCCTGGTGCTGGAGGGGGGTGTGGGGGTCTCAGCCATGCCCTGTGCCACCCACCCCAGGCCTGCGGGACACGGAATGGTTGGGCCGGACCCAGGTGCTGCCCCGCGGCCCCGTGACGTGGTACCTGGATGGGGCCCACACCACCAGCAGCGTCCAGGCCTGCGTCCGCTGGTTCCGCCAGGCCGCCCTCAACCAGGACAAGCCCCACGAGTAAGGAGGGGACACGAGGTGGGGGGGACACGAGGGGGGAGGACACACGGCAGGGGGGCGCGGTGGTGGTGCTGGGGGTTCCCATGGAGCATGGGCCACCCGCCCTTTCTCCTCGCAGCGGCTCCGAGGTGCGCGTGCTGCTCTTCAACGCCACGGGGGACCGGGACATGGCGGCACTGCTCAAGCTGCTGCTGGTGAGGTTTTGGGAGGGGGGCCGGGGTGTCACTGTGCCTGGGTGCCTGGGTTCTCTGCCTGTGCTGGGA